ACACATGAATATGAGTAATTTTCAACAAGAGACAAATAGGAAAAATCGAGTTAAAATATGCGTTTTTTTATTTTGTTGTAAAATAATGTATTTTTTTATAAAAAAAATATAAATTTTAATACATTTAGATATATATGTAAAGAAAAGCGTGACTCGCCTCTTCAGTTCTATCTACTTTGTCTAAAAAATAAATAATTTTTTTAGAAAAAAATTTTTTTAATGAAAACAAACATTCAGACATTAATTTAGAGTGAAAATAGAATATTTATAATGATTTTGACACAATTTTTATTTTCACAAAAAGCTAACATCGTATACTTACAAGGGTCACTAGTGTCTCATGTCGATTTGAACTGCACGCCAGTCATAGGCAGATTGACGACAGGGGTCGCGCCGCCGCGCACAGGTCCCTCCCACTACAAACTTTTTTTACGCGGCATTAACAAACGCCGGGTTGACCGAGCTTGCAAGAAACTTGCACGGACAAGAATCGCTTGGTCACTAGTTACTCATATTAGTACGGTAAGGGTTAATTTTAAATACATCAATTTTTAACTTAATTTAATTACTTTTAAACTTCAATTTATTAATTTTTTTAAATTAAAAATTTTTTTATTTTTTTCTTAAAGCTAATACTTTTTTCTATAAAATCTTAAACATTAGAGAATTAATTTAGAAAAAGTTAAATGATTTTATGGTTAGAGACTCTATAATAAAAATCACACTGTACGGTAGTCAATTTTTATTGGCTTGCTATTATAGGTTTTGTCAATTCCCACTTATATTTGAATTACATTTATATTCGAATTACACTAATTTTAGGTGTCATAAACGTACGTTATATTTCAGCAACATAAATATGAAATAAGCCTTAGATAAAGAATTGTTGTAAAACAGTGCTGCACATCCATCCATTTTCCAAATTTTTATGTATATTTTTTGTAACAAGTCAATGTAGTTGTAAACATGCGTGAGCAATCGTTTTAGACGAAAGAAAGTTAGATAAAGGTTAAAGAAAGAGAGATAATGCAAATATATACCCTTCTTTCTTGCAAGATTTTGGCAAAAACACCTTATGCTGTGACTCTTATTATACATATATGGATAAGTAACTCACATGTGAATAAAAAAATTAAATTTATCTAATAATATATATTGTAAGTGTTATTTAAAGTAATCTCATTTTAAGAAAAATTAGGACATTCTGATCTCAAAAATAATTTTTTCATAATTAACTTTTTTTTAAATTTAAGTTAATTCAATCATAACTTAACTTTCATTAAGTTAATTTTTTATTCCTTCAATTTTTAACTTAATTCCATTAATTTTATAAGCCATTAACTTTAACTTAATTTAGTTTAAAAAAAACTTAATTTACCTAACCCTGAAGAAATGTAACATTATTACCGAATTACTCATTCATTGCTGAAAGAAAGTAATGACAACAGTAACGGTGTTACTTCCCAAACCTGTTATTTAGTGCGCCATTTAAAATCCTACAACTTTTGTCTGGAACGTTTTCAAGAAAATGCACATTTTTTGAAAAACGAGTTCGGTTGCTCTGTTAAGCTGAACGCACACGATGCATGATTTTCTACATAATGAGCTTACATGTGCTATGCCTGCTCTGTTGCGGGTATATATCACTTGCCCACATCGCTAATTGATTAATTTAAAAAAATATTATATAATCTCATTAGTAAAGCAGGAAAAAAATACTAGGAACTGACCGATGTGTGTAATTGAACTGTGTGCAAGTGCATCGCTCCCCTCTGATGCATGCTAGACACCAGGGTTGGGAAAGTTACTTTGTAAAAATAACTAGTTATAGTTGCAGTTTTTTTCTTTCAAAAGTAACTAGTTCCAAGTTACTGAGACTAAAAATTAACTCGGTATAGTTACAGTTACTAAAAAAGTAACTTTTCAATTACTTTTCTGTTATCATGACAGAACAATATGAGTATATATCGAAGCATTTGTAATGGACGTATCCTTAATCAGTATTCAAATTTTAACCAATCACATTAAATTGACAAATAAGTTTAAAATGTAAAGTAACTGTAAAAGTAACTGTTAAATTAGTTACTAGTTATTGGAAGAAATGTAACTAAGTTAAGTTACAGTTACAGATGGAAACATAGCGCCGTAGTGGCGCTTAGTATTTAATGTAATGTTTCTAACATAAACGGTCTTATTTCCAATCTTATTACTGATGGAAAAAAGGAACTAAGTTAAGTTATAGCTACCGAAAAAAAGTAACTGTAACTGTAACTTAGTTACAAGTATGTAGTTACTTCCCAACCCTGCTAGACACCTCCATGCATTAAAAGAAATATGCTACTTATTCTTGATTTCTGTGTTTGATATGGAGTATTATTTCATGCCTCGCGTTTCCTTACACTTGCTAATCAAATGTTAGAAATAGTTACATGATTGATTGGTGCGTACATGATGTATAGATTAAGGTCTTCTCTGTTCTCTTTTTTAGTTTGTAGTTCGTATGTACAATAAATCAATTCGACCAATTAACTTACAATTTATGTTAAACGACAAAATGTCTTGGGATAAAGATCAAATAGTAATACTAATAAAAGCATAAAAAAATGAGCCTGCGTTAATGCATTATTATACAACTTTGCCACTGTAGATGACACTTTCGTGTGATGGAGCAAAGTACATACTATGCATTGGTCAGCATGGAAGGAAAAAAAATAATAGGCATGAAAATCATGACTCGTGTGCGGTGTAGCTTTATACCCTGTACAATGTAATATACTGGAATTCTCACCGCAATATTTCGAGGCTAAACACGAAGAAGAAAGAGATAGTTAAACAACGTTTATTTTTTTCTGTCTAATGCATGCACTTTTTTTTCTTTGTGTCCGATTTCTAAGCATTCTAGTACTCAATCAGCACACAATATTTCAAAAATATTTTTTAAACATTTATTTAATATTTTTATAAATTTATAAAATCATTAAATAAATATTTACAAAACACTTTTAAAATACAATATAGAGGTAAATAATGGCTTAATATTTATAAACAAAAGTTAAATAACTTTTTAAATATTTTTTATTTGATATCGTATAAAGTTCATTGCAGTACGTCAGGATTTTGAGTAAATTATGGTGAAATAGACAAAAATGATGTTTTTAGACATTGTCATTATTTTTTTCAACAAAAATACTTGTTTCTGAATAAAATCAACGTTTTTAAGGTACAATTCAAGAGATTATGAATGAATTTTATGTTATGATTGTACGATTTATTTTTATCAAGTTATGACTGTTTTTATTTTTAGATTTTCTGTATAATTCATAATATAAGAAACCCATATAGCACAAAGAGTTCAAAAATAATTTTAACGTCATCAATTCTGAGTTTATTTTCAAATGCAAAAAATTCTTTTCAGAACTTTTCAGAAAATTAATTTTTTTTGCATCTGAAAATGAATTCAGGATTTATGACATATGACTGAATTTAAAAAAAAATTCTTTTCCCAGACAGCCACAATATTTATAAAATATTTACAAATATTCTGTAAATATTTATAAGACTTATTTTAAATATTTTATAAATATTTTTGTTATTTTAGATGGCACAGATCACAAATATTTATCATAAATGTTATGAAATATTTTTTGTAAATATATATTGTAAATACTGTAAAAATACTCAATAAGATATTATAATCCACGTAAAAAATACTTACTAGAAATATTTATCATAAATATTACATAAAATTTAGTCTATATTTTAATAATATTTCGAATAAAGCTTTATATAAAATATGTATAAAATATTCATATAATATTTTAGTAATAATAATAAATAGTAATAAATATTTATCATATATAAATATTCTGTGCAGTCTAGGTTTATACTCTTTGTGCTATCTCTCTGGACAGGGAAATACATACTCAAATACATGGCATCAAATAAATAATTGTAATTTTAATTTTAATTGTAATCAATAATTATAATAAACTTACACATATACACATATATAGATAAATAAATAGGTTAAAAAGTTATTTCAGAAAGTTTTAAAGTCAATGATTCCGCACTATTTTGACAACTTTAAAATTACAACTTGATTGTGTAACCGTGTATAATGTAGTTATATATATCCAAAACTTGTATGCTTGAAATATTTTTTATAGTTAAATTCAAATTATAAATATTTATTCGCTGACATTTAAATAGACACATTTGTCTTTTTTGTATTGTAGATTTTGTAGGAAGTTTAAAATTCAAACAGCTACAACTTGATTATTAAAATAATAAGAGTCATTTAATCATAAAATAAAATTCGTTTGAAAGTGTTCTACAATTGTACTTTTAGCATAGACTTTATTTAAAAATAATTTTTCTTTTTTGTAAAAAAATTGTTGAAAATGGAAAAAAATGCCATTTTTTTGTCTATTTATCAGAAGACACGATAGTGTCTCAGCTCTAAAACAAGCGCAACGATACTACTGTGTTCCTTTACGTATTTTTATTTTCTCGAAACCTTAACGTGCTACGCAAATTCTGACAATGGAATCGCAATCGGAATCGTGTTTAGTACGAAAAAAATCTTCGAGGTACATACTATAATACTTTGAAAAGAAAAAAAAAATGTTTTTTTACACGTCTTTATTTCAGTATAGTATAGCATCTTAATACGTCTCGCGCGTGCATTTACTATCTATGTATATGTGTTAGGTTATATAGATTGATAGTTGAGAGAGAATTGCAACTTAATTCCGCTTTTTGCGGATATTTCTTGGATTATTTCTTTTTTTATATATTTATTAAAGGTATTTTAGAAATTAATTTTTCTCCTTTTCTTTCTCCCTTCTCTTTCTCTCTTTCTTTTTCATTTTCTCGGTTGGTTTTTGCACGGAAGTGCTGTTTTCGCAATCGTAGATCGTACTCGTGGAGTGCAAGGAAAACGAATGACACACGTACGAGCGTGGTAAGAACCGTAGCTGCTAATATGTGTCTGGTTTCAGCGTCCATACTGCATGACCTCAGCGACATGCAGCCTCAAATAAACGCGATCAAAATAGAGCACCCACCATACTACTGCAGCAGCTACACCCCACCATCCGCAGCCACGACTGCGGATCACGTTCAGCCGGCGGCTAGCTTCAGTAAGTTTCAAAATTTGCCTTTGCCTTTATTTTTAGTAGACAGAGTTGGGGTCGAGCGGTAGTCGCATAAATACATTTTCGTGTCCGAGGCTCACTAAACTAGTTCACGTCGTATAAGCAAAAAGAACTCGTGGGAGGAGGGGAGAGGAGGACACGGAAATTGGGAGGGTTCTGATTGCTTACATCGCATATTGCGCACATGCATCGCTAATTGGCCAATTTAAAAATAAAGTATTCTTATTGATAAAACAGTAGAAAAATTACTAGGCATCACAACTGATGTGAATGGTGTGTGCAATCGGGAATGTAGATAATCGGATTCCTCCCGCGGAAATTATTCATTTGCATCTACCATGCTATTTGTGTTAATTTTGTGATTGAAATAGTGGGAACCTTGTTTTTACTTGATCTTTCTCATTTTTTTTTTGGTTGCAAACATTCATAAAAATCAAAAGCTATATGTCGTGATGATCCTATTATTATCACTATATTATGGCTATTATTTTTTGTTCGGATTATTTCATTTCCAGAGATTTGTTTCTATAATTATTTTTTTTCATGTAAGTGTATGTATTCTTAATATAAATGTCAAAGAGTGTAGGCGATCTAAACGAAAGGAAAGAAAAGATAAAATTATCTAATATAATTACAGTATTCGATAAAAAATAATTTTTTAAATTCAAGAACAAGCGTGACTGTTTTCTGTGGTTTTTTGAGCGTTTATTATGCAAATTAGATAATAATTTTTTTTTGCACACACACACACACACACACACACACACACACACACACACACACACACACACAATCCTCAGTTGATATTTTGGGTGAATATCCAAAACCGCCCAATTGCTATGAATTTTGGTAGAAGTACTTTAAATGATATCAAATGAATACCCTCAAATGGATTTTCACCGACACGAAGGTTTAATACTAAATATGTTTATACAAAGTTACGTATCGCTGAAATGAATTTTCGTAAATTTTGCCTTCGTGTCTAGGAGCGCCCGACTTTCCACACGAAACGAGGTCCACCCCCACCTCCCCTCTATCTAGGGGCTTACGACTTTCCACGCAAAGCGAGTTTCACATACCCCACCTTCCTCCCTGCCAAGGGGCGTCCGACTTTCCACGTGAAGCGAGTTTCACCCCACCTTCCCCTTGTCAAGAGACGCAAGACTTTTCACGCGAAGCGAGTTTTACCCCACCTTCGCCTTGCCAAGGAGCGATCGACTTTCCATGCAAACGAGTTTTACCTCGCCTTCCTCCTTGCCAAGGGATGTCTGACTTTCCACGTGAAGCGAGGTTCATTCTACCTCCTTCTTGCCTAAGGACGCACTACTTTCCATGCAAAGCGACTGTCACCCTACCTTCCCTCCTACTTTGGGACGCAGATAGGGTAGATCTTCTTGGGGGTTAAAGTCAATATCAAGGTCTCGGAAGTGACTTATAGTGAGCTGTGTAAAGGTAATCCATTCAAGTGGCATATAACTTTTAAACATTTTTGACACTAAACCTTCTTGTCGGTGAAAATCCATTTAAGGGCATTCATTTAATGTCATTTGGAGTATTTCTGCCAAAATTCATTGCAGTCGGGCGTTGGACATTTTCGAAAGTTTTATCCGATATTTTTATTATTATTTATATTATTTATATGATATAAGCAATGAAAAGAGATTTGTTGTAAATGCAATTTTATGTTATCCTATACATGTACATTTGTACTCTCTAAAATAAAACCCATTAGAGATTTGATAATAAGTGGAAAATTGAATATTTTTATTGTAAAGTATAATGTTCAAGTCTTAATTCGAATCCTTATCGAAATCTCTAGAACACTGGAGTGACTAGCAATAAATTTTCAAAAACAATAAAAAATGTGTTTTTAAGATCTTTCTCTCTCTATTATGGTTAAAAAGATATATATAATACAGAATCTTTTACATCAAAGCAATATATATAGGCACTTAAGGATCTATTAAAAAATTTTAAACAATTATAAATGAAATTTAGACCGACATGAATAAATCAAATAAGAGAATTTTATTTTTCGTCGAAACGGATTTTGCTTCTTGGATCTTGATAAGTCCAACAAATTAAATCGATGCGCAAATTTATAATACTAAAAAATGTATTTGCAAATTTGCATATGACCATTATCAAGCATCAAGATCCGTTTCAAACAAAAATTAAATTTTTTCTCTTATTTGAAGTGTTTCTAAATCATGTTTTTACTATTTAAACTTAAGGATTTTTTGTTAGAAAGAGACAGCTAAATTCTACTTTAATGTCAAAATTCATAAATTCAATTTCAATTGTATGAAAAAATCCTAAACACACATAATTTCTAAAATTTGAATATTTTTTTATTCTTGACATTCGACACATTAAGATTCTGTCATTTTGAATTTATCAACTTTAACATTCAATTACTCAACAACTTAAAAAATTTCTTAACTTTGAATAATTAAAAAGTATTTGATAATTTCTTAGTTGCATGTATATCAATAAAGATTTATAATGCTAATGAGAGCTATTAAGATTATTAATTGTATATCAATAAAAATTTATAATGCCAATGAGAGCCAACACTGTTGTACGTATGTAATAAAATATTACATATATGTCAATTACCAATTACAGACGTTTCGACTATAAGATTCGGTTCTCTTCAGAGTGTGTCGATAATATTTTCAGAGTCAAATTAATTCGTTATGACGAAGTAGGCGCATACAGTTAATGAAACATCGTTAAATTGTTGTTCAAATTTAAGAACTTCATAATCGTCTGTTGTATTTAGCTGGATACCCAAACATCTTATGGTCGAAACGTCTGTAATTATTGGTGATTGACATATATATAATATTTTATTACACACGTACAACAGTGTTGGTTCTCATTGGCATTATAAACCTTTATTGAATTAGTCATTGGAGCCCCATTCAATTTTTATCAATTGTATATGTTTAATGTAATTGACTTTATATTATTATAATTACAAATATTTTTTTGGAAAGAACATAATAAACACAACAAATTTCTTTTAGGCTAAACATCCTAACGACATATTTAATTCTGCTTGCAATAAACCTTTCTTAATATGTAATTATAATATGCTAAAATATATTAACATACTTCTTTTTTTTGCAATTTTAAGAATAAATTTCTCAAAATTGTGATGTGTTAAAGCAATTTAGTAAATATATTCAGCGCCTAAAAAACTACGGAAATAGATTACTTATGTTGCTATATATTTTACTGCTTGCATACGCGATCCTAGACTGCACAAAATACTAAAAAATAACGGGAAGACGTCTTTTTTAAGTTGTCTTTTCGGCAAAGGAAAGAGATGTCTAAAAAATAATGGAAAGATATCGTTTTTTAAGTTGTTTTTCGGCAAGACGATAAGATGTTTATAAGACGTCTCTTACACGGAGAGAATTTTTAGTTATTTTTTACCGCAAAATTCATTACAAATTTTATCATGTTTGGTAATAAGCTTGGGACAACTTGACAATAATGAAATATTATCAGTAACGATAGATTTTTTGAAATATACAAGAGACTTTTTATAAATGATGTAGTAAAAATTATAATGCAGATTGTAAAATTTTTTGAAGTGAGTAAGTTCTAGCGTAGCTAGAGACACACTCGACAACGAAAATAACCGATAAATATCGATTACAGTCGATCAATTACTATGTTACACGGTAAAATTATAAGCGATTAAATTAGATTAAAAATATCATGCTGTATGGTAAAAATTGTATAAGCTATTTTATATATTCATGACTACTTAGCATCTATTCTTTTAAAATAATAAAGAATCATAAACTGCGTAACATATTTTAAAATGTTGAAATTTTACTATACCCTTTAGTAAAATTAATAAATTATATTACATCTCTTATTATGACATATTAGTAAATTAAAGAAACTCATATACAATTCTTTGAAATACTATGTTATCCCACTATTGTCATGATTTTCAGGCTAAATTCTAAGAGAAAATTCTCTCCGTGTAGTTTTGTCGAAAAGGTAACTTAAAAATGACTTAAAAAAAGACATCTTTCTTTATCTTTCTATGGTCTTTTCGACAAAGGTCGACTAAAAGATATCTTTTCGTATTACCAAAACGACAACATGAAAAAGATATTATTCTGTATTTTGGTATTTTTCATCACTTACCACAAGCAGTATATTGAACGCCAGAATGACGTAGTCAAGTTTAGTTTCTCGTGTTTGAAAACCATACAGGATAGAAAAATAGTGCAGCATTATAAGAAATTTTATTCATGTTCCAATAAACATTAATAAAGTATTTTTCAAAAGCGAGTCCCCAAAGTGGACTATAATGAAAGATAATGACTCTTATACACAGGACATAGAAGCATTGCAGGATTTATAAATGGGACGTATACTGACAGTCATACAATTTCGTTTAACTTAAAATTAATTCAAGGATTTGGTGTTATTACACGTTATATGTGCCAAAATATAGTAATTAAAAGAAGTCCTCTTAAAAACAACTGAAAGATATTTACAAAAGTCACCTTTTAGTTATCATATATGGACGAGGTATAAAAATAACTAGCAGTGCGACATCTGTTGCTTTTTAATCACCTTTTCGTTTATTATATTCTTTCACTAAAAAATTATAACAATTTACAATTAGTCATCTTTTAGACGACATTGTACTCTCTGAAGTGTTATATGCCGTTTGTCAATATGTTTTTTCGCTTTATTTTCCGCAGATGTTGGTTTTTCAGTCTTGTAGGTGCAAAAAGTACAAACTTATAACTTAATTCTTTCTTAGCACTGTCGCCCACCAGTGCAACACTTAGACAGTGTAATGTATTTGAGTATTTTCACGGCTGGTAGTAGGCAAACCTCTGTTCGGTGTAACATATTTACGTTTCCGTGGCTATGATGTAGCTAGTTTTATGCACGAAGTGAGAATTTGTTACACCGTTTCAAAGGGATGGGGTAGAGTGTGATAT